GTCTCTCTTCTGACATCATGAACATGCTGTTTTGTATCTCTCTGTACAGCAGAGAGATACAAAACAGTATGTCTCCCAAGTAAAACACAGACAGCACACAGTTAACCCTTTTATTGCCCCAGATGTTAACCCCATCCTGCCCGTGTCATTAGTGCAGTGTCAGTACTTTTAATTAGCACTGATCGCTGTTTTAGTGTCACTAGGGATGTCAGTGGCAGTTAGTTCCCACCCAGTGTCACAATGCCCGCCATAGTACCACAGTCCAGTGTTGCCAACCTACTAGATTGAAATTGCCTGACACGACACCCACATTTTACTGGTTTTAAGTGCAAAGTTAATTTACAAACAAGTACAATATGGAACTAGCAATGTAATTTGAGGTAGAATGAAGGTAAAAAAAAAAAAAAAAAACATAATAAAAAGAAACTGAACTGTAGCTATGGGAAAAGGTATTGGATTTTTTTGGGCATGGTAAGAGACCACACAGTAAAATACATATAACCATTTATTGACATTAAAGAGTCATGGTAACATATACTGTCCCAGTCCAATCGGGGTCCCGAATATACCCATATCCTTGAAAAGCTAAATGAGGTGGCAAAGCGATTGGCCGATGAAAATAGTCACTCAAGATATATTACCTATATGCCAAACAATAATGGGTTACTGGCCTCAAAAAAATGGGGGAAAGGGGAGAGAAAAATCAGTGTGTATTAAAGTACTCAACCTCAATATGGCATATATATAGGTAATATATCTCGAATGACTACTATTTATCGGCCAATAACTTTGCATGCAGTATCACTACTCTCCCCCATATTCAAGCTATGGTCCTGAAGAAGCCAAATGCACAGGCAAAACGTGTTGACTGTAGTCTGATAAATGCATGTTGTTATGTGCTTAGTGGTAATTTTCTTTTTAATATACATGAGGGGGGCATTGTGCTCAACTATGACTTGTTTTGCTCTTGTCTCTTTTGAGGAGCATGTTTGTACTATGGGTCCTAGCATGGATATATGACTTTTGTGTCAATAAATGGTTATATGTATTTTACTGTGTGGTCTCCTACTGTGCCCAAAGAATCCAATTCCTTTGCCGTACCTAGCAGTTCGGTTGCTTTTTCTTATGTATCTACAGGATTTGGTACCAGGAAGCTTTTTTGGTATTTTTCTATGTAAAAAAAAAAAAAAACATATATAAATAAATATATATATATTTATTATGTTATTTTATACCTTCTGGAATATCTTTGCTGTTGGCAATTGTAGTAAACTGCACAAATAGAGGAAACATCTTCTATATATCATAAATGGTTTTTTTTCAAAATATCAACTGGCAAAAGGATGGTAATGTATTTTTTTAAAAATTATGAGAAAGTTCTACCTTGTAGCAGCTGACAGCAGAACAGGTGTCCCCAATTTGAACATTTCCCTTCACCTCCTGTTCCACTGACTGCCAATTTTTTGGAAATTTGTCATTTTTTGGTCTCTCTGACAATACAACAAAGGGTGAACCTTCATAACATGGTGACAGAACACTCTGCTTCCAAAAACTGAAGCAGCATTAGCCTTTTTAGACTAAAGATACATTTAGTAGCTTTTCTGCAGAATATCTGATCAGACTGTCACAAAAGGCTTCCAGAGTAGACACAGTTAACTTGATTCAAGGCAGCAGTCGAACAGGCTTTTAACCAGCGGTAACTGTGGTTGAGTCCAGAAAAATGTACCTATACAAAACAGGGAGAAGAAAAACATAACAAGAGTACAGCAGCTAAATGCAAAAAAACAATAAAAACAAATTGTGTACTTAGCACAGTGTTTCTCAACTCCAGTCCTCATGGACCCCCATGGACCCCCAACAGGTCATGTTTTCAGGATTTCCCTCAGATGAAACAGTTGTGGTAATTACTAAGGCAGTGAAACTGATCAAATCACCTGTGCAAAATAATGGAAATCCTGAAAACATGACCTGGGGGTCCATGAGGACTGGAATTGAGAAACACTGACTTAGCATAAGATGTAGCTTTGGTATTCACAGGCAGATAGCCATCTCTTTGCCCAGGGCACTGACTTAATCCTAGAAGGCTGGAAGGAGCAGGATGGTCATGGTGGTGAATGAGAATCCAAGAACATCTACCTGTATAAAACAAGGAGAAGGGTGAAAACATAACATGAGAGTATAGCAACTAAGTGCTAAAAACCCCCCCACAAAACAAATTGTGTACTTACCATAAGATGTAGCTGTATGTTAAAGCCTGACACTGTCACACTGAATGTTTCAGGAGTTTGCAGACACAGACAGACAGCTAGCTTTGCCACGAGAGAGAGACACCACTTTTACCCCAGAGAGAGACACCACTTTTACCCCAGAGAGAGATCGCTGTGCCCCCACAGAGAGAGAGAAAGAAAACCGCGTTATCCAGAGAGAGAGACCGGTTTGCCCCCAGAGAGAGAGAGAGGCCGCTTTACCCCCAGAGAGAGAGACCCCTTTGACCCCAGATAGACATCACTTTTACCCGCGAGAGAGAGAGACCGTGTTGCCCCGAGAGAGAGAGATGCTGCGTTGCCCCCAGAGAGAGCGACCCCTTTGACTCCAGAAAGACTGTTTGCCCCACAGAGAGAGAGAGACACCAAGAGAGAGAGACACACCCTTGACCCCCAGAGAGAGAGACACCGCTTTTCTCCCAAGAGGAGAGTGGAGAGAAAGAGAAACTGCTTTTCCCCCCACAGAAAGACATGCCTTTGACCCCACAGAGAGGGAGAGGCACCCCTTTGCCCCAAGGGAGAGAGAGAGACCACTTTTCCCTCACAGAGAGAGAGAGATTGCTTTTTTCCCCCAGAGCAGAGAGAGACAGTTTTTTTCCACAGACAGAGAGACCACTTTGCACCCACAGCAAGAGCCAGACAAGACAAGGAGAGTGACCCTCAGCCACACAGTATGTGGCTGTGTGTGCGTGCAATGCATTCATCAACAACCCCCATATTAACCTATTTGTTCCCAACCCAGAATAAAGTTATTAAACCCTTTAGCAGCCAACCACCCACCTAACACCCAGTAGCCTCCCAGACCCCTCTCAGGTCAAGACAGGTTTATTAGCATAGCAGCAGACAATGGGTATTTCCAGTAATACCCAATTCAATCTCCTTGCTGACTATAGTATACTGCATATGCCAGTCCGTACCCCAATACCATACCCCACACCCCACTTGCCCAGTGGACAGTGGTGATGGTCATGTGGTCCGGACCAGTCTGTGATGTCCATCTGAGTGCCCGTTCCATCCCTCTCTCACAGCAGGAAGGAAGAGACCGCATTGCGGACACCACAAGGCTCCTCTGGCTCCGAGTCAGCCCATGTCTCTCCAGTGAGTCAGTAACCAATCTGTGCTTCTGAGTCTGGCACCAGCCGCTCTACACTCCTGGGTTTTTATAGGCTGGACTGATATGGTTGGAAATGTGGCTGCTGCACCATTACATCTTCACTGTCCATTGCTTGCCATCATATCCCGCCCACCGAGCCCCTGCTGGCCGAACAGAATCGGAAATTGGTCTCTTCTCCTGCCCATAACAGGAGAAAAAAAAGTGCCAGGTTTTTACTGGCTGTCCATAAAATAACGGACGGTTGGCAACACTGCTGCAGTCCCACTATAAGTTGCTGAAAGCTGCCATTACTAGTATAAAAATAAATAAAAATTACAGTATATATACACACCGCCATTTATAGGATGCTATAACTTTCACATAAACCAATTAATTTACACGTATTGGGATTTTGTTTTAGCAAAGACATGTAGCAGAATACATTTTGGCATAAATTTATGAAGAAATGTGATTTTTAATTTTTTTATATTGGATAGGTTTTATAGCAAAAAGTCACAATTTTTTTTTTTTTTTAATTGTTGGTATTTTTTTGTTTATAGCGCAAAAAAAAAAAAAATGCAGAGGTGAATGCCACTGAAAGAAAGCTCTACTTGTGGGGAAAAAAAATTACATAAATTTCAAATTTGTACAGCATTGCATGACTGAGCAATTGTCAGTTAAAGTAATGCAGTGTCGTATCGCAAAAAATTGCCTGGTCAGGAAGGGAGGTAAATCCTCTGGGGGGCAAGTAAAGTACCATTCAGCTTTATTTTGTAAATGTTTAAAACAGATCCTAATGGGAGTGTTGATTGCCAATTTAAAACAAGCTGCTAGCAGGCTCCAGAATTTAGCTTGCTTAAAGTGGCAATCAGATCTGCCATTAGGATCTGTGTTCAACATTTATAAACTGGAGCTGTATGGTACTTTGCAAGCTTCAACTAACCTTGCTGAAAGCTCTGAAAATGCTGTGTGAAATCGTGCTGTTCACATTGCTCTTATTCAAGCTGTAGCCTTTGTGAAACAGGATTTAGAGTGGATGAAGGCACACAGAGGCACAGCATCAAGCAGCATTATCAGTCTGGGGGGAGGGGGGGTCATAAATGTACTAGCAGATTTAGATATGCAAACAAATTGAAGCCAAATTCCATTTAACACTTTATAATCTGTTACAGCAAAACAGTTTTTGTCCCTTTTGGGATAAAGGTTTTACATAAATAAACAGAAGCTAATACTTTTAAGCACCCCTGCCAGGGTTGAATACTTAGTCCCATCCCTGCAAACTGTACATCTGGGAGGAGAACTTGTTCTTTTCAAAAAGATCGGACATATTCGCTGGATCACCAGATGAAAGTAGAAGAAAAAGCCTAAAAATAAAATAAAATGCAGCTATCACATCTAATTGGGAAGCTGTAATATAATAAAGGTTTGCTTTTGGATTTAATAATGCTTTAACTATATGCATTTAAATAAACACATATATGAGAAGTGTATAGCTGTGTTTGCATGCTCCACAGAATTTTGACTGAAGGAACAAGATTGTTTGGAATTTAGACATTTCAAAGGGAGGAAAAGTGGGAGGTCTAATGTGCAGCCTTCATAAAAGGACAGCTGTTGCTAAAGTTTATTCCCTTACAGCAAGCAAGGAAAGAACTACACATAGAATGGCTACTGCTGGACAGGTATGTTGGCTACTGTAATGATAGTTTACTTTTTACAAAATGTAAAAGTATTTAAAGATTTGTCAAACTAACAGTATACATTAGCATACCTAAAACATCATAATAACTGCTACGTTTTTCTGTTATGATGAATTTCCTTCACAATTGTCAGCTTTTGTTATTCTTTTATTTTTGAAATTTACGGTCACAAATTTGTATGCTTTTAGTGTATAAACAGCAGCATTAGACAGTGTAGTAGACTGGAAAGTTCTCGTGTGTGTGTGTGTGTGTGTGTGTGTGTGTGTGTGTGTGTGTGTGTGTGTGTGTGTGTGTGTGTGTGTGTGTGTGTGTGTGTGTGTGTGTGTGTGTGTGTGTGTGTGTGTGTGTGTGTGTGTGTGTGTGTGTGTGTGTGTGTGTGTGTGTGTGTGTGTGTGTGTGTGTGTGTGTGTGTGTGTGTGTGTGTGTGTGTGTGTGTGTGTGTCTGTGTGTGTGTGTGTGTGTTGATATTTACCTTTACTTCTTGTCCCAGTAAGAGGAGATCACTCCAAAGTGAAGGAAAATACACTCTTACACCAGGAAAGGTTTCATCTCCTATTCCTGTGAACACTTAAAAATGATACTTTTTTTTCATCAATTTCTGTAATGGATATAATGATCATAAGGGAAAATAGGATGAATCTGCCCAACATAGATGCACACAGCAATACAATTATCACCAGTTACAGTTATCACCAGGAAAGGTTTCACAAATGGAAGATTTTACTCCACCTCTTATTCCTGTGAACACTTAAAAAATACATTTTTCATCAATTTCTGTACTGGAGATAATGATCATAAGGGCAAATAGGATGAATCTCCCCAGCATAGATGCACACAGCAATACAAACCAGACAACGGTTCTAACATTCTATCTGAAAATTGCTTTCAAGTGGTTATAAAGGCAATTTTTCCCTAAAATAACCCCCCCCCCCTCTTCTGAAAATGCCCCCACAGCAAGTACTCTGGGGGCACTCAAGCCGATGTGCACCCTAGCCAGGCTGTATGTGTCCGTAGACACACAGAGCGTGGCTCTGCCCTGCCCGCCCCCCCGCTTACTCCTCACAGGATTTGATGGACAGCAGCAGGAGCCAATGACTCCCTCTGCTCCTGCTGTGTCTAATGAGAAGAAGGGAGAGCGCCACTGCAGCTGGATTGGGAAAGGATTCAGGTAAGAGTTTAGGGAGCTGTGGGGGTGATACAATTACTGGGACATTTTTGCAGGGAATGCATTAACTAAAAATGTCTAGATTTTAGAACCACTTTAATTAAAGCTGACATTTAGTTTAAAACCATTTTTTCTCTTTACAGTTTTAGTTTACATGACTTACCAGCAATGAAGTATGTCCCATGTTGTGCAGGCTGCTGGATTCTGTAGAAATCTTCACTGCAGGTCTTTCCAGCTTTCCAGTCTGTGAACAGGAGAAGACTGATTAGTCACAGGGTTCTCTCCCCCATTCCCAGATCATGTAATCGGTGAAAATGAAGGTGCGCGCAGGAGGGAGCGTGTCCCTACTGGACCATCTTTAGTGCATCTATGCTGAGACCAGAGGCTGTTAACCCTCTCAGTGCTGGAAGTTCAGCCACAGAAAGTGGACAAGGCAAGATTGCAGTGAAGATTTCTACAGATTCCAGCAGCCTGCACATCGTGAGACATACTTTATAAATATATGCATCTACAAGTGTTTTTTTTTAATTTGTACACATGTAAATTAAGTCTAAACAAAAAGGAAAAATAAATTACCATTAAAAACAAGTTATGTAAGCATGCACATCTTTACGTGTTTATATGCACACATGTATAATAAAATCAGTAAAATGTTTACCTAAACTTTCAGCTTTAACTAAAAAAATTAAAAGAACTGATATGAGGAAAACATCAATTTATCAGCTGTCAAACCAATAAAATGTCACAGTATGGGAATGATTGTGCAGATATGACAGGGTTTAAAAATTCAAGTATATATTTTAAAATTGTGCTATTACAAATTATTATTCTAAAATATCTTGATTTAAATTAATAGTATTGCCCTTAATCAGTCACAAAACTGTGGAATCCTTGGACTTTTGCTATCTTTTCAACTGCCTTCATTATTTTGCAGTATATTAAAAATGGCAATGGGCGTGTTTCATCCTATTATACAATATTGTTGTGTTGTTCCTTTAAGACCCTAAATATTGTAAAATCAAATATCCACATATCAATACAGGAGTCTTAACGGTCAAGGTCAAATGCATATGGTTCACTGGGTGCTATGCATGCAATTCGTGGGTGATTTGCCGAAGCAAAGATTTTGAAACTGGGAGTTCACTGGTGGTTGGCCACATATACTGTATATACCCTATATTGCCCAAAGTACTGGGGATGCCCGCCTTTACATGCACATGAACTTTAATGGCATCCCAGCCTTAGTCTGTAGGGTTCAATATTGAGTTTGCCCACCCTTTGCAGCTATAACAGCTTCAACTCTTCTGGGAAAGCTGTCCAAAAGGTTTAGGAGTGTATACGAGAACGTTTGACATTTTTCCACAAGTGCATTTGTGAGGACAGGCACTGATGTCGGACGAGAAGGCCTGGCTCGTAGTCTCCACTCTAATTCATCCCAAAGGTGGTCCATCGGGTTGAGGTCAGACTGTGTGCAGGCCAGTCAAGTTCCTTCAGCCCAAACTCACTCATCCATGTCTTTATGGACCTTTCTTTGTGCACTGGTGCGCAGTCATGTTAGGACAGGAAGGGGCCATCCCCAAACTGTTCCCACAAAGTTGGGAGCATGAAATTGTCCAAAGCGTCTTGGCATGCTGACACTTTAAGAGCTCCCTTCACTGGTACTAAGGGGCCAAGCGCAACTCCTGAAAACAACCCCACACCATAATCCCCCGTCCACCAAACTTTACACTTGGCACAATGCAGTCAGACAAGTACTGTTCCCCTGGCAGTAACCAAACATCCATCGGATTGCCAGACAGAGAAGTGTGATTGGTCACTCCAGAGCAAGGGCGGACTGACAACTCATGGAGCCCCTGAGCAATAGGGGATCATGGGGCCCCTGTGTCCTTGCCCAAACTCAAAAAAACCTATGAAAAAAGGTACCAGGGGCATCTCATGGGGCCCCCTAACTGACCTCGGGCAGTGCCTGAATTTCCAAATTGTCAGTCCGCCCTTGCTCCAGAGAACACATCTCCACTGCACTAGATTCCAGTGGTGGCGCGCTTTACACCACTGAATCCGATGCGTTGCATTGCACTTGGTGATGTAGGCTACGATGTAGCTGCTCAGCCATGGAAACGCATCCCGTGAAGCTCTCTCCGCACTGTTGCGCTAATCTGAAGGCCACATGAAGTTTGAAGGCCTTTAGCTATTGACTCTGTAGGCATTTGGTGACTTCTGCGCACTGTGAGCTTCAGCACGCGCTGACCCTGCTCTGTCATTTTAAGTGGCACTTATTGCACAGGTGGCAACCTATCACAGTACTAGGCTTGAATTCACTGAACACCTGAGAGTGACCCATTCTCTCAAATGTTTGTAGAAGCAGTCTATATGCCTAGGTGCTTGACTTTAAACGCCTGTGGCCATGGAGGTGATTGGAACACCTCTTTGGACTTTATTTGTTTTATTATTTTGGGACTTATATATTTAAAGAGAAAATTTTCAGTCATGCTGCATCATTTTTTGCATTGTATCTCAGAGGTGTAACAGTGCTTGGTGGCAACTAACACAGGTCACAGATTTTTTTTTTTTTTTTTAATTTGATGTGATTTGCGTACATCAGGATTCACGTCATAGGGGTATACGATAATTTGCCTGCAGTCGTGACTGCGCTGATTGCCTTTCACTTTATTAAAATATTGTATAATAGGATTGAGCACTTGTATTTTGGCGGTATTGAGTGCAGCTGTGAGTATATATTATTGGCTTTAATTTTTGCACTAAACCCAGTATTTTCTTTTAATATAATGGGTGTGTTTCACCTAGAGATCTGTTTCCCATTTTTTAGCGGTTGTACCATACATATTCCACTGTAGAGGCAGTTTATTTAGTTTCATATTGCACAGCAAATATTCTGATTCTATCAGCTTATGTGTGTCGAATGGACGCAAACAGCATCTAGCCACTTGTCTCAGCCACAGCAACACTTTTAAAATGTTGACTGGTCACCATAAGTAGCTAATTAGCTCACCTCCACCTAGGGTAACCAAGTGCCCCCTACTCCATGGATGGAGTCACTGTACCCTCCCCAGTTTGGCCTTCAGTGAGTCCCCATCGAAAGAGAACCACTCCCTTTCTGGGCTGTGATACTCAGCTACCAAAAACATTCCTATGAATTATCTTACTGTTATGGTTAAAGACAGATTTCTTAGCATTCTATCCCTCCTCTCTTTGCCCCCCTTTGCCACTCCTGTCCCTTTTTACCCTTCCTCTCCTTCCCAGGGATTTTTCGTACATATGGGCCACTATTGGGCTATTGCACTACCTCCATCACTGCAGCTATGGCCCCCTTGAATGAAATAATTACAGCCCCAGAGGGAAGATTATTAAGCCTGATACACACAGGTAGGTTTCTTTTTTGTTTAACCCAGTGGGCTTAATGAAAGAGAAAAAAAAAAAAAAGTCCCCCTGCGAGAACAACCCGGTCAGCACTTGCAGCCATTGGCTATGACTTCTGATCAGATGCCTATAGGCTGCTGGTTTTCCAGCATTCTCTTTCGACAGAAGCTGGACGTTGGACACACTGGTTGAATGTCAGACGGTTTCTTTTGAACAGGACAATACCAGCTAATATTCAGCCTGTGTGTCCAACACACCAGCCTTTTACATGACACACAAGCCATGCTTGTTTGATGCTACGCCCCTAACACCATTCACACTCCCTTCCTCTCCCACCTCTTCAGATTGTTGGTTCGCACAGAACACCTTATAATCTGCATAGCCTATAATGAGGTAATTTACCCTTTATTCCACAAAAAAAATTATACAGCCACGTAAC